ATTTGGTGAACCCCAATATGAGGTACAGCCCCACATCAATGTGGGGTGCACCATTTGGTCAACCCCAATGTGGGGTGTGTACCCCTGCATCAAAGTGGGGTGCACCATTTGGTCAACCCCTGTATGGAATGTACCCTTGCATCTCCAAATCTGCCACCTTCAAATTGTCTCGCTACCAGGAATTGTTTGTTTGTTTGTTGATTCATTTTTTTTGTTGGAATTCGGGGTACCGAGCATGCATAAGCTTGCACTTGAGCTCAAGGTTCGGTGAAAATTGCCGATCCTCCTCTTGTGCGCTAGAGGAAACGCTTCCATATCCCACTTCAATTGAGGATAGCATGCTTTGCCCGGAAAAACATAGTTTTGAAGTATTTACCACATACGTACTTAATATCACATATGAAGAGGTTACAATAGCCAAATCTGTGAATAATCCGGAGAGCTTGAAATGGCGTATCGCATTCCTACTGAACGCGTTCCTCTCTCCGCTTGGTCGATAGTGTTGACTGAACTTTCTCCAACCTACTGCCTAATTGACGGTTGAGCGGCAAGGATTTTCGTCCAACCGGAACCAAGGAACCCAAAATGATGCAATGCAAGGCCACACGAGCAGGCATAGAGAACCATGCCCAGACACATGGTGCCTTCACAACGACATGACGAAACCATCCCATCCCACCAACAGACAACAGCACAACACATACCAATGACATTCCCTGAGCACCTGCCAATCATGCGGGAAAATCCGCTGGACCGGTGTCGTTAGGGCGAATCTCAGTTCGGCTATGAGCACTGTTCATGCTACTGTTTGGGTCATGCGGAAATTGCGCATGACCCAAAGTGGGCTGCCGAGCCGCGCGCGGCCCCAACTTTGGGTCAATGTGCAGGTGTTGGGAGACTGATGTGCACGACCCATCCCCAACCAATCACCTAGTTGCACGATTCTGGTTTCGCTGCCATCTTTTAGACGGTCTTCACTCGAGTGTCACAAGTGGGCAATGTCCCATGTTCTACACCTCTGCACCCAACCACTCGGCAAATTGACCCCACTGACTCTCGATGTGTCTAAAATTTCCCGCGGCGCGCTCCCAACATTTGGGAATTCACTCCAGGAATTTCGACGATTGATTTTTTTCGGTGGGTGTCGCGTGGTTTTGCGTGGGTGTCGCCCAAGATCTTGCGAACTGTTCTGGCTTCCCGCCATTGGAGGCGACTGGTCTTTGGCGGGCGATTTTGCTTAACGACGCTGCGCAACACTCAGAGGGTCGCAGGAGATTGGATGACCCAAAGTGGCGTTTTTAGTAGTTTGGGGCATGCGGCAAACGCGTATGCCCCAAAGTGGCCGTATGTGTCAGAATGATGTAATTGTCTAGCCTGCAGTGGGGTACTCTATAGCGAGTACAACCCAATTAGGGTTTCCTATATGTATCTCAACTGCTGTTAGTGCAACCCTCTCTTTCTGCTTCTAAACTTTTCCTCGTAATTCTGACAGTATGACCCGAACTGAGATACGCCCTTAGCCTCTCTCTGTCCGTCAACTTTTCGTCCTCGCGGCTACATTGCTGCCAGCGAGAATATACTATACACAAGATGCTCACCCCCTGCACGTGAATTTGCCCTACACCGGATGGAAACTCTGCACCCGTGATTTTTTCCCCAGCCAGTTGCACGCACGTTAGGGCGTATCCAGCTCGTTCATTTCGGGGAATTTAGTACCTCCTCACGATCCGGGGTTCAAAACAGATCACTGTACATATAAACGAATGCGCCCTGCGTCGAGTCCACCCTTTTTGTCAATTCTAGCACTCGGACACATTCCCCCCATACAGACTTGAACAGTGCAGGGGTCGTGTGGAAACCGAGGTAACCGGTTTTCTTGTCAACCAAAGCGTTCGAATTTTCGCCAAGCCAATGTCAGAATATTATGCTCTAGCCTGTAGTGGGGTGCTCTATAGCGAGTACAACCCTTCTAGGGTTTGCTATTTGTATCCTCATTCTTGCTAGTGCAACTCCTCCCTTCTTTGCCTAAACTGTTTCTTGCCTAGCTAGGGCTTTACTAGCTATGGCGCCTTCTTCTACTGCTTACCTTCACATGGTATCAGAGCGATATGCTCCTGGCCTGTGGGCCCCACCTCACTGCTTCCGCTGCTACTGCTACTCCCTGTCCGCCGCGCGCCCCGTGGTGCGCGGCGTCGAAATTAGGGTTTTTCAGCCCGCCGTGCGCCCCGAGGCGCGCGGCGGTTTTCTGCCCGCCGTGCGCCCCGAGGCGCGCGGCGGTTTTCTGCCCGCCGTGCGCCCCGAGGCGCGCGACGGGTTTCTGCCCCGTCACTCGGCGCGTCGCCCCCAGGAGGCGCTACGACGGGCGACGGGGACCCGCGCGTCGCCCCCCGTCGCCCGTCGTGGCCTGCGCGCGGCCCGTACAGCCGGCGCGCGGCCCGTACGGGCTGCGCCAGGCCCGCGCGCGGCCCGTACGGGCTGCGCCAGGCCCGCGCGCGGCCCGTACGGACTGCGCCAGGCCCGCGCGCGGCTCGGGCCGCCTGCGCGCGGTTCGGGAGGCTGTGCCAGGCCCGTGGGCGGCCCTTTCCTCGCTGCCCCTGCCCTCCCCGCTGTCCCCCGTGCTTCTACTGGCGCCCCACCCCTCCTACAGCCCGTTCTCCTGAATTAGGGTTTGGGGGTGAGGGGTATGGGGGTGAAGCTACTGTGTGCCGTTCCCTGCTCCTCCTCCTCCTCCGTCTCCCTGTGCTGCAGCTGCCGCTGAGGGGGGGTGGACTTGTTGGAGCCGTTGGAGTGGTACTAAGGGGGGGTGAAGGGGGAGTGGAGCTAGCGGTGTAGCAGCGGGTGTGTGTCAGGGGGAGTGGGATAGTTTGGGGAGGTTGAAGGGGGTGGCCGCCGTGAAGCCAGCAGCTCCAGTCGCCCGTGAGACCGTTGCGCCAGTCGCCCGTGAGCCCGTTGCGCCAGTCGCCCGTGAGCCCGTTGCTCCAGTCGCCCGTGAGTCCGTTGCTCGTCTGCCGCTACTTTTAGCCGCGGAGCCAGTTACTCCAGTAGCCCGTGTGCCAGTTGCTCCAGTTGCCAGTGTGCCAGTTGCTCCAGTTGCCCGTGTGCCAGTTGCTCCAGTTGCGCCGTGTGCCAGCAGCTTCAGCTGCCGCCCACTACCTCCTCTCCTCTCATAGTCTCTTTCCTCCTCCTCACTTGCCCGTTGTGACTACCACTAGCTTTGCTCATAATTGTGAACTTTAAACTATTGCTTCTTGAACTTGTGCTCAGAATGTGTGGTGACATTGTGATCCACCCTGAGCTTGTACTGCTTTGCTTGCTCTGCTGATTACACCCCACTTTGGCTATGGGGGTGTGTCAGAATATTATGCTCTAGCCTGTAGTGGGGTGCTCTATAGCGAGTACAACCCTTCTAGGGTTTGCTATTTGTATCCTCATTCTTGCTAGTGCAACTCCTCCCTTCTTTGCCTAAACTGTTTCTTGCCTAGCTAGGGCTTTCCTAGCTATGGCGCCTTCTTCTACTGCTTACTTTCACAGCCAACACTTCCACTACTGGTTTTGGCGAGTGTCAGGCGGCACTAACAAAATCGCGCGCGCGATATGATGGGCACTCACTGTAGTGGGCAGGATGCGGTTCTATACCATTGTTCGATTCACACGCTGATTCTTGTAACGTGCGTCACACGATTCGAGGTATGTGCATGGGGTGTGCCGTATCGTGAACGGGAGCTGATCGTGTCTGGCATTTTTGTCAAACTCAGTGTTACATCGCAAAATATGGTAACCGAAACGGCTTTACGAACAGTAAATGAACGAGCTGGACTCCCCCTTACAAGCACGTCGCGTGGTTCTGCACCAATAATAACGAAAAGACCGAAGTCAAAATGTCAACGGGTAAGTTACAATTATTTTATAAGCACCTGACGAATCCTTTTTTGCTAGTCGCGAATTGACGAAACTTATGTGAAATACAAGAACAGCAACCGGGAGTGGCTCAACCCTGGCATCATGTTTACCATCATACTAACCAAGCCACCGCACCGCAGAAGGTCCGCCCCCCCCTTCCTCCCTGGTCCGGTCACAAGGCTGTCAGGACGCGGTAAAAGTGGAGAATCGATCGCCTCAGGTTCGTTTTTTAGCACGGTTATAGACGGTTGTGTATCTTTTGTATACAAAACGCGGGGTTTCAGTGAGGTGACCGGTTCGATTTCCCCCCGAACGAGCACTTTTACCGCGTCCTCAGGCTCGTCACTCGGTTGCGAAGGCTGCCAGTTCCCAATCCCAAGGTACTTCACTCTCCCAGTTCCCAAGACACTTCACTCTGCCAATTACCCAAGGCACCTCCGCCCGTTCTTGGGGCATTTGCGTTTGTTCCGCAAGCCATTTCATTGATCTTCGTTTTCCAGCCTGTCATATTGTTTCGTGGAGCACAACTACTGCAGCTGCTCCTGCTGCGTCGGCTGCTCCTGCTGTTCCTTCGCCGTCTCGCTGCGAGTGCCAGAAGGTCCTACTGGCCGACGGACTCCGTCGTGCACCGACTCGCACCGTCGTCGCGTAGTATCCGCACACCGCAATCGTTGAGAACTCCCGCGGTGCGCTACAGCAAGCTGCGCTTGCGCTGCCGACTTGGGCTGCCGACTTGCGCTGCCGACTCGCGCTGCCGACTTGCGCTGCCGACTCGCGCTGCCGACTTGCGCTGCTGACTTTGCGCTGCTGTCTTGTGCTGCAGACGTTGCCCCCCGCTGCAGCCAACGAGTTGTATGTGCTTATCTCAGGTCTCCGTACTCGTTTCGTCTGCTCGTCCCCGGTCAGGCCCCTTTGGTCGAGAGCGTGGAAGTATTGCAAGAGCCTCTGACTCGCTGTGAATCCACACGAAGTGTTGACGCTTGCCGGAATTTTGACCTCGTATTACTGGGCCACGTACTTGGGTTGCCAGCTTGACGAATTTGTGCTGCGAGGGCCCCTCGCAACCGGGTTACACGTAACCAGGGTTGCATCTTGAGCGTATGGAGGATGACGTGCGATGGCGGAAGTATTTCACCCACTCAGGAGCCGACATCTGGACGGTTATTGACAGGGCGCTGCGGGTAGCCGCTTCTGATTTTCCCGCGCAATTACGCCTGCGACGCGACGGTATCGCGGAAAAACTGTTCACCTTCGGTCGCCAGTCGCACGCGCGGGACGTAACACCCCCCCACGTCTCGCGGGGGAGCCCAGAACGGGCGGCGACGGAGCGGGGGGCGATGGAACAAGCAACAGGAGTTGCAGAGCGAACCGCAGGGCGACAACACGCGACGACGGCAAGTCACGCACGTGACGAAGGCGCTCCGAGAGAGGAAGCAGCGAACGATGGGCTGAATCCGACGGTCAGAAACGCGCTGGGGAACGATGAAAGGCGGAACGAAGGCGGAGATGGGGGCGATGTGAGGGAAAGGAGACGAGATGGGTATGGTGATGGGGGTGGGTATGAGGATGAGAAACGGGGAGGGGAAGAGCGGCGCGAACGGGAAGACGGCGACCGGCGAGAGCGAGATCGACCGGAAGTGCGCGGCAGTGACGAGAAGTGTAGACGGCCGTCAGGCGATGGACGGCCGTCAGACGATGGACGGCCGTCAGGCCATGGACGACCGTCAGGCCATGGACGACCGTCAGGCCATCCCGAGGGCGTGGATGAAGAGATAGACGTTCTTGGAGGTGCGAGGAAGGAGGAGGAAGAGGAGGAGAAGGAGGAGGAGGAGAAGAAGGAGGAGGCGAAGGAGGAGGCGAAGGAGGAGAAGCGAACAAAACGGCGCGGGTGCGTGTTTGTGCTTGGGGAAAGCGACGCTTCGGATGACGAGGATTCAGAGGAGGAGGAAGAGGAAGAGGAGGAGGAGGAGGAAGTGGATGTGGATGTTGATGTTACTAAAGAGAACGAACACGTTGATGGGTTCGATCATCGAAGTGGGAGACACAGTGGTCATGCTGGTGCTGGGTCCGGTGGTAGGGGCAGAAACGGGGAGAGAAGGAACGGGAGGGAGAGATTAATGGGGGGGGAGGGAAGAGGAGTGGGTAGAGGAATGGGGAGGGATGAGGAGGGAAGAACATGGGTGGAGGAGGAGGAGGAGGAGGAGGAGGAGGAGGAGGAGGAGGAGGAGGAGGAGGAGGAGGAGGAGGAGGAGGAGGAGGAGGAGGAGGAGGAGGAGGAGGAGGGTGATGCGACCGCAGCAGTGCTGGAAGAGCAGCTTCAGGAGGAGGATCGGTTGGTGGAGCGTATTGAGGAGATTAAAGACCTCCTTAGACCGTCCAGACTGGTAAGTGCCCTTGTTGCGCTGCCACTATGCAGGACAACGAAGCCACTATGCAGGACAACGAAGCCACTATGCAGGACAACGAAGCCACTCTGCAGGACAACGAAGCCACTATGCAGGACAACGAAGCCACTCTGCAGGACAACGAAGCCACTCTGCAGGACAACGAAGCCACTCTGCAGGACAACGAAGCCACTCTGCAGGACAACGAAGCCACTCTGCAGGACAACGAAGCCACAATACTGGCCACAGAATCTCAAGTGTTAGTGAAACTCCCTTCCCCTTCCCCACCCCCTCAACCCCTCTTCAACTTTACGTCCCTCCCACGCCTGGCCCTTCCTTCCAAGACCCACCTCTTTCCCCTCCCCCCCACACGCCTTCCAGCTGTGCAGAAGCACAAGAATCCCGCACAGCACATGGAGTCCCTTCATTGTCCCTTCACCTCGCCTCACCTCGCCTCACCTCGCCTCACTACACCGCACCTCTCACCCACCTCCCTGTTCTCCCTCCCTCGTGAAGTGGCTAGATTAGTACTCCCCCCCACCCTCTCCCCTTCCCACCCCTCGTGACTGGCAGGACAAGTTGTTACCGGTACAGAAATTGCACTCTTCTCATTGCTTGCTTCGAAAGTCACGTTAGTAGTCCCGTCATCCCCCCACTCTCTTCCCCCACTTCCCCTCTCCCTGTGCCTGACAGGACAATGACTATCTAGTGCGGCATCTGGAGTCTTTACTGCACATGCCGATGACCCTCGAAGCCTTGCGGGTGAGAGGGGACACAGTGTGAGGGGGCTGCAGTGAAGGTGTATAGACAGAGGTGATGGGGACATTGGCAGACAGGAGAGGGGCGGAAATATGGAGCGGAGGGAGGAAGAGGAAGGGTGTGAAGAGAGGGAAAGAGGGGGGGGGGGAGGAGGGTTGATCGTCTTTTGGGGCTTCCTTTGATGAGCGGTGGATAGGTGAAGGAAGTGACTGGGAGATTGGCAGCAGGGGTCAGTTCAGCAGGAAAGGGTGGTGGGCCATTTCTTTTATTTACTCATGCTTGGCTGCGTGGATGTGTCGGTGCATCAGGTGACGGAGGTGGGCAAGAGAGTGAACTCGTTCCGCAACCACCCATCAGAGAAAGTGCGCGCCATCACTAGACAGCTCATCGGGTGAGTGTGTGATGGGCATGTGCGTGATGGGCACATGCATGGGTTTCACAAGGGCCCAGCAGCAGATACAGGGGATTCATGCTGTCTCGAACTGTATCCTCCAGACCATAGTGCCCTGCTTTCGAACTGTATCCTCCAGACCATAGTGCCCTGCTTTCGAACTGTATCCTCCAGACCATAGTGCCCTGCTTTCGAACTGTATCCTCCAGACCATAGTGCCCTGCTTTCGAACTGTATCCTCCAGACCATAGTGCCCTGCTTTCGAACTGTATCCTCCAGACCATAGTGCCCTGCTTTCGAACTGTATCCTCCAGACCATAGTGCCCTGCTTTCGAACTGTATCCTCCAGACCATAGTGCCCTGCTTTCGAACTGTATCCTCCAGACCATAGTGCCCTGCTTTCGAACTGTATCCTCCAGACCATAGTGCCCTGCTTTCGAACTTCCTCCCTCCGCCCATCATCCCACCCCTCCCCGCAGTGCATGGAAGGACCTAGTGAAGGAGTGTCGCACCACAAGAGTGCGGCAGGTGACTGTTGTGTCGACTCACGAATCTCTTCATGCTCGCACTGCCTCCCTTCCTTTGCTTTCCCCGTCATCCCATCCCTCGCTGCAGTGCATGGAAGGATCTCGTGAAGGAGTGTCGAACCGCAAGAGTGCGGCAGGTGACTGTTGTGTCGACTCACGAATCTCTTCATGCTCGCACTGCCTCCCTTCCTTTGCTTTCCCCGTCATCCCATCCCTCGCCGCAGTGCATGGAAGGATCTCATCAAAGAGTGCCGCAAGAGTGCAGCAGGTGATCACTGCACCAACTCACAAATCTCTTTCTTCCCTCACTCCTTCCCATCCCTTCGCTGTTCCCCGTCATCCCATCCCTCGCCGCAGTGCATGGAAGGATCTCGTGAAGGAGTGTCGCAAGAGTGCAGCAGCCGTGGCCCGTGAGTCCCCTGCTCCCTTCCTCTCTTCCTTTGCTCTCTTCCTTAGCTCTCTTACTTTCACCTCTCCCCTTCCTCTCTTCCTTTGCTCTCTTCCTTTGCTCTCTTCCTTTGCTCTCTTCCTTAGCTCTCTTACTTTCACCTCTCCCCTTCCTCTCTCCCCTTCCTCTCTCCCCTTCCTCTCTCCCCTTCCTCTCTCCCCTTCCTCTCTCCCCTTCCTCTCTCCCCTTCCTCTCTCCCCTTCCTCTCTCCCCTTCCTCTCTCCCCTTCCTCTCTCCCCTTCCTCTCTCCCCTTCCTCTCTCCCCTTCCTCTCTCCCCTTCCTCTCTCCCCTTCCTCTCTCTCTTCCTCGCTCCCTCCTTCTCTGAATCTCTGCCTCGCCCCCTCCCTTGCTCTCTGTCGCTCTCTGTGTCACTTTCAAAACTTCTCTCCCCTCCCTCGCTCTCTGCCTCACTCCCTCCCTAGCTCCCTCAATTCCTCCTTCCTCTCCTTCCACCCTCTCTCCCCCTCCCATCCCGCAGGGTCCACAGCAGGCCTACCAGAGGACGTGTCATCGGGGCCTTTTCATCGCCCCCTCATGCTGTGTCACCTGCTCTCCTGCTCCCCTTCCCTCCCGCCGTCGCTGCTCTCCCTGCTCCCTGCCATCCCCCAGGGTCCACAGCAGGCCTACCAGAGGACTTGTCATCAGGCCTGCCATCGCCCCCACTGGATGAGAGTGCCCTGCTGCAGGGGAGGAGCATTGCCATGGGGGCTAGCGAGGTGAGTGTGACTATAGTGAGTGTGGCGGTTTGTGGTTGGCTGTCTGCTATTTCCATCGACATTCAGTGAAAATCGTATCCATGGGTGCCAATACTCCCTTGTGCCATGCCTTACCCCGTGCCCCCGGCCTGACCCCACGCGCCATGCCTTACCCGATGCCATACATGCAGTTGTTCCGTGCCTTTGCTCTTGGCCTCCACAGCGGCTCATGTGAGTCCTCTCCTGCTCGCCCCTTCCCTCTCCTTACTCCCTTCCCTCTCCTGGCTTCTTTCCCTCTCCCCGTGCTATTTGTGTTTTTCTTGTACACTAAACACTTTGTTAGTCCGTTTTACCTTCTGTATTGACAAGCTCAGGTCCATGTGGTGTTCCTTTGTACCCCTTACAGCCAGATCCGATGGAAGCCCTGACAACTACCGCGCTCCACCACCCCACGACGACGTAGCTTCATCCCCACCTGTTTATAACAGAACTCCTGCTTACAACAGCAACCCTGCTTATAACAAGAGCAAGCCACGGTATACCGGGGACAGGCAGGAAGCACGCGAGGCGCAGGGTCGGGCTGGCAACAGCAGTGCTGGCGCTCTGATAAAAAAGAACAAGGAGAGGAGGGAGAAGAGAGGGGAGGAGGAGATGATAGGGAGCGATGGCTTTGGGGGAAACAGGGGGGGGAACATCGTGAAGGACAGGGTGAGGGAGAAGAGAGGGGAGGAGGAGATGGTAGGGAGCGATGGGTTTGGGGGGAGCAAGGGGGCGAGCATTCAGAAGGAGAGGGCAAGGGAAAAGCTTAAGGACAGGGAGCTGGAGAGGGAGAGGGAGAAGAAACGGAATGTGGTGTCTGGGCTTGCTGCTGCTGGCGTTTCAAGCATGGACAGGCAGGGTGGTGCAGGACAGATGATGGGCAGAGCAGCAGGAGGAGGGCGAGGAGGAGTAGGAGGAGAGGGGTCACCTTTGCAGAGGCGTTTGATTCAAGGCGCTAAGGAGAGGGAGAGGGAAAGGGAGAGGTCTGTGTCGCCGTACCGGCCCACTGCGCCTGCATACGGCAGGAGCCTCACCCCTCCGCCCAACATGCGATCCGAGGTACGCTGTACCGCATCATTCCATCGAGGTACACTGTACCTGGACTTTCAGACGAGATTTGAGCTGACTTGAAACTGGTATGGCAGGAGCCTCACCCTGTACCTGCTAGCAGTGCATTCAGTTTGTGCATTGCGAGGATGAGGAGAGTGTTCTTAACCTTTCTGGTCAGCAGCTTAGGAAAAACATTCTGTCAAACTATCCTGGTTTAGAACTGCAGAGTATGACAGCAACGCAGGCAGCAACGCTGCCCTGCTGCTTAAAGTCCCAACAACACTCTGTGTGATGAGCAACAAACGAATTGAGATGGCTCTTGACTTCTTACAAGCAAATGCTTTCCCACTTCCTCACCCTCACACTTGCATGCACTTGCCCTTTCCACCCCTTGGCCCCCCCCCCTGCCGCGCTGTCCCATTCGTCTCCCTCCTATACCAGTTTGCAGCAGGGGGCGGAGGAACAGAGAAGGAGCGCCTGGAGTTGGCTGTTGACCTCCACCTCACACGTGCATGCACTTGCCCTGTCCCCCCTTTGCCCCTCCCTGCCGCGCTGTGCCATTCCTCCCCCTCCTATACCAGTTTGCAGCAGGGGGTGGAGGAACAGAGAAGGAGCGCCTGGAGTTGGCCAAGAGGAAGCTGCACGAGCGGTACCAAGGGATCCAGGACGGTGAGATGCGAAACCCCTCAACCCAGACCTTTGCTTTGGCGGTGGAGCTGGTCTTATAGGGTGAGTGAGGACCGCACTCATCCCCCGATCCTCCATCCATCTAGCCAAGAAGGAATGTTCTAATAGGCACACTCATCTTCTGAAGCACACCCCTCCCCATGTCTTCCCCTCCTCGCCCCCTCCACTGCTTCCATCCTCCATCTAGCCAAGAAGCAGAGCATGATGCAGATGGTGGATCCGGGGGCAGTGAAGGGGTGCTCTCCAAGTCACTTTCTTTCTGAAACACATCCCACCTCCCAACCCCTGCCTTCCTCCTCTCCCTTCCTGCCACCATACCTCCTCCCATCTTTCCAGCCAAGAAGCAGCGCACCATTCAGGTGGTGGGCCCGGGCGCAGTGAAGGGATGTTCTGGGAGGCCCTCCAGACGCACCCTTTTCCTCTGGTAAACTCCCCCCCTCTCTCCCTCCCACACACCCTCCAGCCAAGAAGCAGCGCACCATTCAGGTGGTGGGCCCGGGCGCAGTGAAGGGATGTTCTGGGAGGCCCTCCAGACGCACCCTTTTCCTCTGGTAAACTCCCCCCCTCTCTCCCTCCCACACACCCTCCAGCCAAGAAGCAGCGCACCATTCAGGTGGTGGGCCCGGGCGCAGTGAAGGGATGTTCTGGGAGGCCCTCCAGACGCACCCTTTTCCTCTGGTAAACTCCCCCCCTCTCTCCCTCCCACACACCCTCCAGCCAAGAAGCAGCGCACCATTCAGGTGGTGGGCCCGGGCGCAGTGAAGGGATGTTCTGGGAGGCCCTCCAGACGCACCCTTTTCCTCTGGTAAACTCCCCCCCTCTCTCCCTCCCACACACCCTCCAGCCAAGAAGCAGCGCACCATTCAGGTGGTGGGCCCGGGCGCAGTGAAGGGATGTTCTGGGAGGCCCTCCAGACGCACCCTTTTCCTCTGGTAAACTCCCCCCCTCTCTCCCTCCCACACACCCTCCAGCCAAGAAGCAGCGCACCATTCAGGTGGTGGGCCCGGGCGCAGTGAAGGGATGTTCTGGGAGGCCCTCCAGACGCACCCTTTTCCTCTGGTAAACTCCCCCCCTCTCTCCCTCCCACACACCCTCCAGCCAAGAAGCAGCGCACCATTCAGGTGGTGGGCCCGGGCGCAGTGAAGGGATGTTCTGGGAGGCCCTCCAGACGCACCCTTTTCCTCTGGTAAACTCCCCCCCTCTCTCCCTCCCACACACCCTCCAGCCAAGAAGCAGCGCACCATTCAGGTGGTGGGCCCGGGCGCAGTGAAGGGATGTTCTGGGAGGCCCTCCAGACGCACCATTTTCCTCTGGTAAACTCCCCCCCTCTCTCCCTCCCACACACCCTCCAGCCAAGAAGCAGCGCACCATTCAGGTGGTGGATCCGGGGGCAGTGAAGGGCGGCAAGGCGAAGCCCAGGTTTGCCTTCTCTCACAACGCGCGAGGGGGGGGAGCAGGTGGTGGTGGCGGGAGGTTTGGGCGGAGGTAGGTGCTGCTGGGGGGGGGGTTACTGTAGTAGCTTCTGGTGGAGGTTGCTTCTGATGGAGGTAGCTTCGGGTAGCATTTCCTTTATCAACTCAAGCTGGTTACTGGTAGGTGATTTATTGTATCTATTGGGTGCGGTGTGGATGTGGAGGGGCAAGAGGAGCTTGATCCATTGGTGAGAATTGGAAGAAATTTGACAGTAACGCATCGGCATTGAATGAGCATTGGAACCCCGAGAGCACTGGAATCCAGAGAGCACTGGAACCCCGAGAGCATTGAATGAGCATTGGAACTCAACTTACTTTTGCGTTGAGCCAGGTACCCCGAGAGCATAAAGTAGGTACCGTAGGTTAGCTTAGTGCTTTGGATGAGAATTGGAAGAATTCTGACAGAATAAAGAGCTTGTAAGTACTCCAGATAGCAGTGTTGAGGAAAGGTCTATATCGTGTCACTCGCCCCTCCTGACACACGTTGCAAACTTGCACTATGCACTGATTTGGTCGCGCTTAATTGTCAAAAAGACCGATGCTGCAGTTACCGCATGGAATGGAATCAGGGCTGACTATTCAAAAAAATCCAGTCTGATGTTCTGGGGGCTCTGAAATTTTTTAGTAGGCATATTTCCCAGAGAATGGCCACTCTGATTTTTCAGGTTCCGCAAAAACACAAGTCTGAAGTACTCAGAACACACTACAACCACTGCAGTACAGTACTGCCACAAATGTAGCACGTGGGGCGCAACGCTAACCAGTTTCCCTCACTGACACCGCGTAGCTGCAGTGATGGTCCCGCGTGAGTGGAAGAGTGAGCCAAGTTGGCAGATTTCTAAGGGAAAAGGGTGGCAAAACTTGCCAAGGACAGATTCTGCGCGTGACAGCGCCATGAAGTGTGTTCGTACACTGGCAACATATGACGTAGCGGAATGTACGTAGAAATCACAGATCCGCATTTCAGGATCCGTACTCCCTGTAGTATGAAGAGCCATTATCGGCTAAGTCAGTACTCTGAAAATCTCAGGATCCAAAACCAAGTAAGAGCGTATTCCTACGGGGCCACCTCGTATCAAGAATGGTCCTCCTGCCTGTAAATTGACAACCTCGCCAAAACCTCGTATCAGGAAAAGTTGCCAGTTAACCCACATGTGCGACTCCAATCAAAAACTGATGTGGCATGTTGCGACCCAGCATGAACAAGCGCCCCGACGAACATAAAAAACGTGCCACGAGAGCATAGGGTGGGAATGGTGTACGAGTCGCTATGCATCTGACAAGGGAGGTGACACGAAAAGTTTGCACACTCTGCACGTTCGCGCGCGGCGCACGACTGCCACCGTGTGCAGTTTCGCATGAATGTTTGTCGGCCGCATTCACAGGGCTGACGTTTTCACGTCAACTGGAACCGTGCGTCGGTAAATCAGCACATTCACTTCTGGGTGTGCGAGCATTCTCATTGGTGCACTGGTTGGGTCTATTCTTGATATAAGGTGTTTTATACCGTAAACATAAGTCAATTCCATTCTTGATACGAGGTGGCCCCGTAGGAATACGCTCTCAAGTCTGAGGCACTCATGTTTGAAAATCTTACAAGTCTGAAAAATCAGGATCCGTAGGAAAATACCCTGAGATTTCAGACAATCAGACTATTTTAGTCTGATCAAGTCAGCCCTGAATGGAATGGCAGCGGTAGCTGAATTCCAACAAAAACTGTTTTCCATTATGGCAAAACACCAGTCTTTTGGGGTCTATTGGGGGAACTACCAATGCGATGGAACAAAATAATAAATTTAGGTCCTTACAAGAGACCCATGGCCATGGGGTACTAGGGTCTGCCTTTTCTTGTGATCGCACATCTGGGAGGGAGACAGACAATGATACTGTTACATTGGCTGATGCTTCAGCAGCAACAAAGACATGGCAGCAAGGGAAAGAGAGCGTCAACAAATGCTTCGGCATTGAAGGGTTGAAGGTCTTCCATGCCCTCCCCCACATTTTTTTAAAGCGCCTCATATTTTAACAAAGTGGTGAGATCTCTGTTACGAAGGAAAGAGAGCGTCAACAAACGCCTCGGCATTGAAGGGTTGAAGGTCCTCCATGCCCTCCCCCACGCCCACAAACTTAACTGGAATGCCCAAATCGTCAACCACACTCGCCTGCACACAGCACACCGGATAAGACCATGTAGAGAGTCAAACCAGATTGGCATATTTCCCCAGCCATCAGCAAATTTCGTTTGACAAGGTACTGATAGGTAGAGCGTGAATGGGGCATGGGATTGAGTCAGTGACTGGAGCAAGTGCAAGTGCAATACAGGAGCCAGGGGTGAGAGAGAAAACAAAAGTATAAATACGGAACGAACGAAAGAAAGGGAGGAGGGTGAGGGCAAAGGCAACTCACCACACAGCCGCCCCGTGCCGTGCCATCCAGCTTGGTAAGGACAAAGCCTGTCACCCCGACAGCCTGGCACAGACAGAGAGTGGTGGAACACAGTGCAATAGTAAGGGTGGGGAGATGTACATTATAGCATTGGCAAGGGAGGAGGCAAGCACGCATAGCCAGGGGAAGGAAGAAGGGGGCAAAGCTGCACAGCAAGGGAGAAAGGGTGATCAACATGCATTATAGGGTGATAAACATGCATTATAGGGTGATAAACATGCATTATAGGGTGATAAACATGCATTATAGGGTGATAAACATGCATTATAGGGTGATAAACATGCATTATAGGGTGATCAACATGCATTATACAGGGTAGGGGGAGCGGAGGCGGAGAGGAGACTCGCCTGGTTGAATTCTCGTGCCTGTGGCAGCATGTTGAGTCCCGTGGTGCCGTCCAACACCAGCAGCACCTCCTGCGAGTAGGCAATGGGGTGGGGACCACAGGAGCAGTGCGTGTTGGGGGAGGGATTGCGTTGGTTACAGCATGGATAGGGGGGCCTGAGGCAGCATGTTGAGGTTTGTGGTGCCGTCCAACACCAGCAGCACCTCCTGTAGGCATGCAGCGGGTTGGATGGGGAGAACAAGAGCAGAGTGCAGAGCACGCAGTGCATTATAAACAGGGACACGATCAGTAAGCGCCTGCAGCAGCATGTTGAGGCATGTTGCGCGCCGTCCAGCACCAGCAGCACCTCCTGAAGCATGTGGGGTAGGAATCACCGAACAGCACGTGTGCAGGAAAGAATGCACCGCTAGAGAATGCATCATGGATAGAGGCCTGAGGAAGCATGTTGAGGCATGTTGCGCGCCGTCCAGCACCAGCAGCACCTCCTGCGAGTAGACTTGCAGTGAGTGGGTAAAACACAAGCAGCGCATGGAGGAATGAACCATCAGATTTCCTGTCTGTCACAGCACCTTGCAGTTTTTGGGTCGACACCCAAAAAAAAAAGAAAAAAAAAAGAGTGAGCCGAACATAGAGGAACGCGTTATCCGCTAGAGTGTTGAGTTTCTTGTACCTGAGAACAGTGTGAAGCACGCAGTGGTAGGGTTGACTCACATTGGGAGCGCCGGGTAGGGTCTTGGCCACGGCTCGCTTGCACGCCTTGAGCTCCTCCATCAGGTTGAAGTTGGTGTGCAGCCCTGCGGTGCAATGCGGTGGTGGGAGGTGGGTGGTGGTGGTGTTGTGTGGTTGGGAGTGGGGAGGGAGAAAGCTGGAAGGCAAAGGGAGGCTAGGCTTGACACGGGCACGCCTTGAGCTACTCTATGAGGTTAAGGTTGGAGTGCAGCTTCCATGACCCCCCCTCCCATCTATCCATCCGTCCCTTCTGTTCCCCCCTTGTGCCTCCCGTTCCCACTGTAGCACAACTCACGGCCAGAGGTGTCAGCAAGGAGAATGTCAAAGCCCTCGCTGCTTGCCTCCCATGCCTCAAACCCCCTGCGGTGACTGAGCCCCCCAACAACCCCCCTCCCGTGCACCAGTCCCCTTTTCCCACGACTCACGGCCAGAGGTGTCAGCAAGGAGAATGTCAAAGCCCTCGCTGCTTGCCTTGCGCACCGCATTCGCCAGCACTGCATGGGAACAGGCGCGGGGGAATTCATGGGATGCATGGGTGTGAGGGGGCATGTGGGTGAGCGCGTGGGTGTGGGGGGGCATGGGTGGGTGGGCCTATTTACGGCTGTTCTCCTTGCGTGCTTCCAATCACCATGCATTTGCTCTGTGTGCTGGCACTGGCACTGGCACTCACCCGTGGCAAGCACTCACCCGTGGCAGGTCTGGTCTTCTCCCCCTCTGCAGTGAGAATCGATGCGCCTGTCCTCTCCGCCCACACCTCCAGCTGCTCGCTCGCTGCCGCCCTGAACGTGTCTCCCGCTGCCAGCAGCACCTGAGGGTGGGGGAGGGGGCGGGAAGGGGAGGGGGCGAAGTGGGGAGGAGGGATGCAGGGGAGCACGGATGGGTTATCAAAGGTTCAAGAAGCTCCTCGCTCGCTGCCGCCCTGAACGTGTCTCCCGCTGCCAGCAGCACTTGCAAGAGGGGAAGAGAAGGGGAAAGGGAGGGGCAGCATATTCGTCACCAAGAAACAGCTGTAAGGGTGGGGGAGTGGCGGGGGGGACGAGTCTAGGAAGCGAGGGATAAGACAGGGGAGCAGGGGAAGGAGAAACGGAGGATGGGCGAGAGCAGGGGGGAGCGGATGAGGGGGAAGGAGAGGGGGGATGGGTGGTACGGCTTAAAGAAAAGCGTAACATAACCCTGTTACGACAAAATGGCACATGATTGACTCCCCTAACACCCTCACTCTGTTATTTTAGCGACACAATGCTCAAGTCAAGCCTGTTGTAACAACCGCGAAACCAGCAAGCCGTGCTACTCCCAACGTGTACGTGTGACTCACTGACGCCCAAATGTGTAATGTTTATGCCCAAGTGTGTCATTTGGACGCATACACGAGTTGGCCGGCTCTGACCTGGTTCCCCACAAGGCATTACCTTAGCCCCCTCGTTGTTGAACCGATGCGACAGCTTGCCTGGTGGATAGGAACGAGAGAGACGGATGGGGAGGGCATGACAGACAGGGCATGGGAAAGGGGAGATGGGGGATGGGACTTGAAGGATAAGAGATGGTGTGAACAACAGCAAGAACAGGCGACACACTCGGGTTAAAACAACTGCTGCGAGCGCTGAAACGCCTTCGAAGCAAGAAAGGACATGAGGGGCGCTAGTGGCGGGAGGGAGGGAGGGAGGTAGGGAGGGAGGGAGGGAGGGAGGGAGGGAGGGAGGGAGGGAGGGAGGGAGGGAGGGAGGGAGGGAGGGAGGGAGGGAGGGAGGGAGGGAGGGAAGGAGGGAGGATGGGAGGGAGGGAGGGAGGGAGGGAGGGAGGGAGGGAGGGAGGGAGGGAGGGAGGGAGGGAGGGAGGGAGGGAGGGAGGGAGGGAGGATGGGAGGGAGGGAGGGAGGGAGGGAGGGAGGGAGGGAGGGAAGGAGGGAGGGAGGGAGGGAGGGAGGGAGGGAGGGAGGGAGGGAGGGAGGGAGGGAGGGAGGGAGGGAGGGAGGGAGGGAGGGAGGGAAGGAGGGAGGATGGGAGGGAGGGAGGGAGGGAGGGAGGGAGGGAGGGAGGGAGGGAGGGAGGGAGGGAGGGAGGGAGGGAGGGAGGGAGGGAGGGAGGGAGGGAGGGAGGGAAGGAGGGAGGATGGGAGGGAGGGAGGCTGACCAATGGTGGTGGTCTTGCCACCGCCATTCACGCCCACAATCATCACCACTGCCGGCTTGCTGCACGCATGGGGGGGAGGGGGAGGGCATGGAAGGAGGGGAGAGAGAGGGGAGGGAGGAGCGGAGCAGGGGAGGACGGAACTGGGTTTCCAACGAGCGGCAGGGAAAGGAGGAGTGCGACTGGGTGCGTGCATGGAGAGAAGGGGGTGCGGGAGAAGGGGAGGGGGAGGGGTAGCGGCGAGCATGCCAATAGTAGCAAGGCGGCAGCCCAGGGGAAGATGATGTTAAGAGTACGGCAGCTACGTAAAGCGGGACGGGACGATGTTCGTGGTGTGCGGATTGCGGAGTGATGGAGAAAGGAAAGGAGAAGGTACAACAACCACAAGCGCACCTCTCATCTGCTCCCCACTGTCCCCACAATTGCGGGCGAATTGCCGGCGCGAGCAGCCACTCCCCTTCCCGGCTAACCCTCCGCCGAATCTCCCGCACCCCTTGTTCCCCCTTCTCCCCTTTCCCCCCATCGCTCTCACCTGGTCCCCAGCTCCAGCGCGGTGACGGGCGCTTTTTCCGTGAGGAGCTTCACAATGGCGCGCTTCAGCGCTTCCTGGAGTCGCGGCGCACAAACGGGTGGGTCGAGAGAAGGGGTAGGGGGGAGAATGGGGGGATTGTGCGAACGCAACGCCGCGCTTCAGCGCTTCCTGGACCCGCACGACCAAAAAGCGGGGGTGACGAGCGGCAGGAAGAGAGGGGAAGAGAAGAAAGAGAAAATCGTGCAAAAAAAAACCATTCCAAATTCACCTTTCCTCTCACGTCATTACGCATTTAATTGACTCCCCTTTCGTTCTCCATTGTGAACCCAAGTTCGAACCTCTAATTCGATCAGTTAATCACTGTCACCACCAAGCCCCGACTTTATCATGATCCTCTGTTCAATATCACCACAAAGACTCAACTCACTTTAATCTCTTTGCCAGTCTTAAGCTGTCCCGCTTTAATCTCCTCCCGGATGCCGTCCACAATGCGAATCGCAGTGCGCGGCCCGAAATCCGCCACTATGAGGGCCTTCAGCAATAAGACAGATGATAAGATATGTAGGAGGGGGGTGAACTATGCCAACTTTTCGCAATGAGATTTCTAATTTCTGTGAATGCCATCGAAGTCCATTCATCACTTTTCTTGGTCTTTCCCTGTTGCATCCACACGTTCTTCCTATTCCAGTGAAGCACATAAAAAGCATTCAGGGTACACAAACATTCGATGCAGCTGTCTTCTACGGCTTACCTCCTCCAGCTCTTCCAGAATATTGTCCGCCTCGTTTAGATTCCAATACGTCAAGAGCTCGTCCACAACCTTCAGGCTCTCCCTCGTTTTAGTTACACCCTTGAACACACGGTCGAAATCGCTCTGCGCCTTCTCTTTAATCACCCGGCCTAGTCGACCCAGGAACCCGAGCTTATCTAGCCCGGCCTGCACCTTGATCGGACCACGAATTCGCCTGGTTGCAGGTGCGTCTGGCTGGCGAATTGCGGGGATCAACGGTCGCGAGACCAGCGACTGGCACTGGTTACCTGTGAGGCTTCTGCTGCCGCTAGTAACGGCATTGCCGGGCGCTAGTTTTAAGGTCTGTGAGGAGCTCTGAAGGAGCGCTAACGAGCGCGACGCTGCGGCCATGTTGGCTACGTTCGATTCTATACGAATACAACAAAGTTATCAATTTGGGGAAACAAAGAAAAGGTATGATATTGTACGAACCAGCGTGGTCGCAGCTTCAGGCAGACAAATCCTAAAATTCAAGTACTGCTGGAAAGGCTTGGATAATAGCTGTTATTGCTGCTTTTTGATGTGCTGTTGTGTTGATCCTACTTAGGACTGCGTTTTTGCTTCCATTTGGAGCTAGCTGCTGATCCGTGCGGATTGCTATGGAGTTTCCAAGGCGCAACTCGTAGAGCAAACTGGATTGCGTCGTCTCTTGCGATTGGTGGGAGAGGAGAACGACGTGACGGCATCCAGAATGACAGCTGGACCGCCACAAGTGTCACGTGGAAAGGCTCGAGAAGAGTGCCCAGACGATAAATGTCGCGTTCCGAAACAAGAAAAATTACTGGTGGCTGGATCCGGTGTGTACATTCGAAACTCAAAACAATCAAGGAGCCTTTTATAACGAGCATTGTCTGTCATTTCCAAAAACACCTGTGATGAAGCCAGACCAGCCAAAAGCCAATCATTTAGATTTTGGCATTCCCTAGCTCGCCTAGTTCGCCGTCGCCGCCATTATTTTTTTGCCTGCCCGTCGAATTCTAGCATGAATCTTCCCGGCGAGATCGAGGAATTCCTCTCTCGCTTCCTGGGCTACGAAGGATTCCGCTTCCATTTGCGACGTTACCTGCTTTTCGCCACGCTCTTCGCGCTCATCATCGTTGGCTACGTCTCGTCCGTCGCGCACCACAGCGCGAATCTCACCGCCAGATATGGCTACGACCCCGACGCTCCGCAAATCGCACCGCTAGTAGCGGAGGATGACGCGAAAAGCGACAGTATTTCACAAGACGACAGGATGGGGAAAACCGAGGAAAAAGAAAGGCGGGAAGAGGAATCCGATAACGAGGAGCCCGAAAAAGCGGGATCAGGAGCGGAAGGTTGGGCATGGAAAGAGGCGGGGACAGCGGGGGAAGCACGGATAGGGTCAGAGACGGGGGGAGAGGATCAGGACGGGGAAGGGGGAAGGGCGGAGACGGGGGCAAGAGACGCGGAAGGAGGAGGCGGAAGGAAAGGGGAAGCAACAGGGGAAGGAAATGGGGAGAGGAAGGTAGACGGTGAAAGGAAAGGGGAAGGAGGAGGGGAATCAACGGCAGTACCGTCAGAATCATCATCATCATTAACAGCAGCAGCAGCAGCAGCAGCAGCAGCAGCAGCAGGAGGTGGGGGGGCAAGGAGGAGCGCTGAGAAGGACAGGTGTGCGGTGGAGCAGGGCACGTGGAAAAGGGACAACACGTACCCGTTATACGCCTCCACGTGTCCTTATATCGAGTCCCGGTTCGCCTGCACTGGAAGGCCGTTCTTTGAATTTGCCCAGTACCGCTGGCAGCCTGCTGGGTGCCTGCTGCCGCGGATTGATGCCGGGAAGCTTCTCAGCAGCTTCCGGGACAAGCATGTTGTGTTTGCAGGCGATGCTGTGGCGAAGCAGGTGGGGATGGTGGGTGGGGAGGTTGAAGGGGAGGAGGGTGGGGATGGGGATGGGGATGGGGATGGGGATGGGGATGGGGGAGGGGGATGGGGATGGGGATGGGGATGGGGGATGGGGATGGGGATGGGGATGGGGATGGGGATGCGGATGGGGATGGGGATGGGGGATGGGGATGGGGATGGGGATGGGCATGGGCATGGGCATGGGCATGGGCATGGGCATGGGGATGGGGGATGGGGATGGGGATGGGGATGGGGATGGTAAAGTGTTGGTAAAGTGATGGGAGAGTGTTGCGAGAATGATGGGAGCGTGATGGGAGAATGGTGTGAGAATGAATAATGTGAATGTTCCTTTCCCTCCTTTGCCTCGTGCGGTGGACCCACTATGACTTCTGGTGCGCCTCAGAATTCGATTTTCTGTCTGCTCCCCTCCTGCTTCCCCTCCTTTTCCGCCCACGGCAGATGTTCCTCTCCCTCATCTGCCTCGTGTGGGCCCAGGCCTCTTCTCCCTCCTCCTCCTCCTCCACGCCACCTGCCTCGCCCTCCTCTGTGCTGTACCGAGTCTCACCAAAAGCAAAGACCGCTGCCAGGCGTGCAACAAGGGCAGAGAAGGAGGCAATGGCATCAGCGGGCGCGGAGATGTGGCGATCAGCCAACGAAAACGTAACGTTTGTGTTCTTCCCTTCGGACTACCTGGTAACCAGCATCGTCAGCACCACCACTGCCACCACCAGCAGCAGTGGGAAGGCATCAACGGTGCGTGTATTTCTGAATCAGCTGGGGCCGTGGCACGAGTTTGCAGAGCAGCACGCAGACCTCCTCGTGCTGCACGCTGCTGCAGCCTTCTCCCACAACGCATTTCTCCCCACCCTTGCAATCGCAAGCCCTTATTACAACACCAGCAATAGCAGCAGCAGCAGCAAGGAGCAGCGTGTTGTTTTTCTCAACGGCACCTCTCCTGCACATGATTCCAGTGAAGCCGCCGCCTCCTCAGACTCGCTATCTGCCTTCCGCTCTGCACTGAGGACGTTCAGTGCCTGGGCTAGGAGCACCCCTCGATTGAAGAACATTCCGGTCTTCTTCCTTAGCACTCCTGGACACCATTTCGCCTCAAGCAAGGACCCTACAGTCCCTCGTTACAAGAACATATGGAAGGCCAAGTGGTCTGGCAAAGGTACCTGTGACAGTGTGAAAGTGCCTCTAGAGAGGCCTCATAGGGACAAGGAAAGGGCAAATGTTATCGACTCTGAACTGGCTGGTGATGGCAGCAGTGGCAGCAGCAGCAGCAGCAGCAGCGGATTACAAATTCTTCCAATCGGGCAAGTTTCAGCTGCTCGGGCAGATGCACATGTGAGCAAATGGCATGATCAGGTTATTGATGGCTCAAAACAAGACTGCATGAATTTTTGCCTGCCTGGTGTCCCTGATGGTTGGAATGAGTTGCTGCTTCAAAGGTTGAACAAGTCGCTCTTGTAAGCAGTCCGACATTATAAGGGCTTATAAGGGCGTATAAATGGTTGTCCCAGATGCTACGTCTGTACCTCTGAATGTACCCCAAAACTAGTTGACCACCGATGGCGTAACTGGTGCCTCTTCAGTTTTACCGTTCGTCTGGTAGAGTGAAACGGCCCGCCCCCGACAACTCGTTCTGCTGGCATCCTTCTGTAAGGCGCGCAAAATGGCATCTACTACACATGTGGAGCCACAGCAACCAACTTCGTAGAGGTTATACGGTATCAACGCAAAGTATAGCACATGGCACCCTCATCCGAACATGCGAAACAGTATAAGTGTCCTCACATTGGTCACTATTGGGCTGAGAAAAGCCCTTAGGATCTTTTCAAGGCTGAGACCCTGAGTAGGAAAGTTGTAGTTGCGAAAGCGTTCTAAGTAAACATGTTGAACCAACTTGCACTAGTGTGTGAGAGCAAGAGATTGAGTATAGCAAGGTATTACAAAAGGCTTTTGTCAGAACATATATATAGCTTATGCTGTTGTGTAGGCTATAGTGGGGTATCCCATAGGGGGTACAACCCAATTAGGGTTTCCCATATGTACTCACTTCATTCATAGTTCATTCATTCTCGTTCTACTATTCTCATGGTATCGAGCAGGTTCCCTCGTGGGAACTGTTCCTAGGGCCCACCGTTTTTTTTTCCTGCCCGGAGCGCACTCTGCCCCTACCCGGGTCGCGCTCCCCTCTCTCTTGGCCCCTAGTGGCCCCTTTAGCCGCCCGTCACGGCCCTTAGCCGCCCGCGCGCCGCCCGTCCCGGCCCCTTAGACGCCCGCGCGCCGCCCGTCCCGGCCCCTAGACGCCAGTGCGCCGCCCGGCCCGGCCCCTAGACGCCCGCGCGCCGCCCGTCCCGGCCCCTAGACGCCCGCGCGCCGCCCGTCCCGGCCCCTAGACGCCCGCGCGCCGCCAGTCCCGGCCCCTCGACGCCCGCGCGCCGCCCGTCCCGGCCCCTCGACGCCCGTGAGCCGCCCGTCCCGGCCCCTAGACGCCCGCGCGCCGCCCGTCCCGGCCCCTAGACGCCCGCGCGCCGCCCGTCCCGGCCCCTCGACGCCCACGCGCCGCCCGTCCCGGCCCCTAGACGCCCGCGCGCCACCCGGACCGACCCCTAGACGCCCGCGCGCCGCCCGTCCCGGCCCCTCGACGCCCGCGCGCCGCCCGTCCCGTCCCCTCGACGCCCGCGCGCCGCCCGTCCCGGCCCCACGCCGCCCTACCTGCGGCCCACTCACCGCCCTACCTGCGGCTCGCCCGCCGCCCTAACTGCGGCCTGCCCGCCGCCCCACTTGCGGCCCTACCGCCCCCCTACCTACGGCCCGACCGCCGCCCTACCTGCGGCCCAACCGCCGCCCTACCTGCGGGAGCCGCCTAGCAGCAGAACCGCCGGGAGCCGAGCCGCCCTGCCGCCGAGCCGCCCGGGAGCCGAGCCGCCCTGCCGCCGATTCGCCCGGGAGCCGAGCCGCCCTGCCGCCGAACCGCCCGGGAGCCGAGCCGCCCTGCCGCCGAGCCGCCCGGGCGCCGAGCTGCACTGCCGCCGAGCCGCTGAGCAGCCGAGCCGCCCTACTGCCGGGCCGCCCGACCTGCCCTGTCCGGTGAGCACAGCCCCACTGTCACTGCGTGCCCTTCCCCTACTGCTTGCACTGCTCGTCTGTCGTCGTCATGGCTACCCCTAGCGTCCTCGCTTTTGACGCTGAGGGTCGAGCCATTGACTTTGAGGTCTGGGTCGACGACCTGCAGCTGTTCTTACAGTGCGATAGGGCGGACGGTCTTTCCCTCTTTGACCTCACCTCTGGCGCCTCTCCTGCCCCTGCTACTGATGCTGACCCCACTGTTCGCTCTCAGTGGGCCACCCGCGATGCTGCTGCACGTCTTGCTGTGCGTCGCCACCTGCCTACCACTGAGCGCGCGCACTTTAGTCAGTACAAGAGTGCTCAGACCTTGTACGACGCTGTAGTTGCGCGCTACTCTTCCCCTGCCACTGCTGCCCTGAGCCGCCTCATGCTACCGTACCTCTTTCCTGACCTTGCTGCCTTTCCCACCGTCGCTGACCTCATTACGCACCTCCGCACTAGTGACACTCGCTACCGCGCCGCCCTTCCTGCTGAGTTCTGCGCCAAGAACCCCCCCCCCCATGTACATCACTCTCTATTACATCGTCACACGCCTCCCTGACTCCCTTCGCGTAGTCAGGGACCACTACCTCTCGGTCTGTCCCACCACTCTCACTGTCGACCTCCTCGAGAAGTCCCTCCTGGCGGCGGAGAAGAGCATCGTCGCTGTAGGAGCCTCTCGTGGTGACCCTCGCACCCCCATCTTTGAGGGGTGTTCTCCTTCCCCCCTGCTGCCCTCTGTTGCCTCTGCTGCTGCTGCCGACCTGCTTGGTCTTGAGTCGGTCTGCGCGGCGTCTGCCCCTAGCGGGAGACGCCGCCCTGGCAGGGGCAAGGGGGGCAAGGGCGCGGGTGGAGCTGGCGGGGGCGGTGGAGGAGGCGGTGGAGGCGGAGGAGGGAGTGGGGGTGGCGGTGGGAGTGGTGGCGGGGGCGGTGGTGGAGGTGGCAGCAGCGGAGGAGGAGGCGTCGGTGGCGGCAGCGGTGGGAGCGGAGGCAGCGGTGGTGGTGGAGGTGGAGGCAGCGGTGGCGGAGGGGGTGGAGCTGGTCGGGGTGGTGCCCCGCAGCGTAGCGGCCCTGGTGGTGGCCAGCGTCAGCAGCAGCAGCAGCAGCAGCAGCGTTCGCGGGACATCCCCCCGCCCCAGCAGCTCCGTGAGTGGTACACGCAGCGTCAGCGGGGTGGGGGTTTTGGTCCATGCACCTACGTCCTTCGTTCCGGTGACCGAGCGGGTGAGCAGTGTGGGGGTGCGCACCCCACTCAGCGCTGCTTTGCCCGCCTGACGGACGCTTGGCGTCAGCAGTTCCCCGAGGCCAGTGAGATTCCCCGTTGGGGAGAGCTGTCTAGGGCTGGCGTAGCTGTCTTTGATCTTGACTTTGATGCTATCCTTGCTGCCATGTATGCTGTGACTATTAGTGAGGAGGGTGACTGTTACCAGTGTTTCCCGCCCGACCCGGGCATTAGTACTGCTGCGCCAGGTACTTCTGCGGCTGCTGCTCTAGGTGCCAGTGCGTCTGCACTCTCAGGTACTGGTGAGGCTGCGCTCTCAGGTACTGCGTCGGCTTCGGCCTCCCTCACCTTCACACTTGACTCAGGGGCTTCTCGCTCCTTCTTTCGAGACCGCACCACACTCACGCCGCTTGGCCGGCCGGTTGCAGTCTCCCTGGCTGACCCCTCTGGGGGTCCTGTCCTCTCTCACTTCTCCACTGTCCTCCCGTGTCCGGCTGCCCCCTCGGGCACCTTGTCTGGTCTGTACCTCCCCTCGTTCTCGACGAACTTGGTGAGTGGTGCTGACTTGCAGGATGCGGGGGTTCACCAGTTTACTCCTGCGAGTCAGCGGGTGACCCACTGCTCGGATGCCCGCACAGGCCGACACCTGGCCACGTTCTCGCGTCGGCCAGGGTCGAGTCTCTACACACTGACCACTGCGTCTCCTCCTGTCCCTGCGTCTGGCCAGGTAGCTGCGTCGGGTCAGGTGTTTGCTGCTGCGTCCAGGTCTGGTCCTGAGTCTGCCCCCTGCTCGTGTCGCCGCCTGTCTCACGAGACTCTCCTGTGGCACCACCGCCTTGGCCACCCCTCCTTGCTTCGTCTTCGGGGCATGGCTTCCCGTGTCCTTGTCTCTGGTCTTCCCCGGTCTCTCCCTCCCCTCCCTTCGGGACCCGGACCTTCTTGTGTCCCCTGTGTCGAGGGGCGGCTTCGGGCTGCCCCTCACTCCTCTCAGTTTCCCCCGACAGAGGCTCCTCTGCAGACGCTTCACATGGACGTGTGGGGCCCCGCCCG